GAGGTTTCAGTCTTTAAGATTTCTCGTTCTTGCAAGAATATAGGCAATGCTTCTGTTGTACTTGATAACAAAAATGTCAAGATAAATGCGAATAATCCGACTTTTTCCTCAGTGCCAGCTAAATCATCCTTAAGATTGTAAAAGACAGAGCCCAGAACAAGCCCAGAAATCAGCATTTGGATAGTCCTATAAGCGAATAGTTCCTTTGTTCGACAAATGTTTTTTGAGAACCTGTCTGTTAGAATTATGATTTCTTTCAGTCTAGAATTTGCAAAACCATGAGGAAAATCAAGTTTGACATCAAGGGAGTCCTCGTCCAAAACCTTGGCTTGTCGAAAGAGTTGTTGAAGTGTCAATTTACCGTCGGTTGCACCTTGAAAACCTGTTGAGAAAATCACAGTTAGATAACAATTTAATGAAATAAACTTGGTAAATTAACACGTAAGCAATTAAGGTGCGAGTTTATATTCAAGGATTTCTTGCTACAAAAATCATGTGATTTGTCTGCAAGGATTCGGCATCCCAACTGAATTGTGCACATAAATGGTTGAAATAGATGGGCCTGTTTAGATAGCTTCTGCTTTTGCTTTTGGTAGAAGAGATTCTTGAGGCTTACCTTATGTCAACTTTCTCTAAAAACTATTCTAACCAAATAAAGCACTTCCAGAAAATTACACAAAAAAGTCCCAGTAGAATCTTCTTATTCTCATAAGCAGATTTAAATTTCTGAAAAGCCCTGCCAAACACGACCATAATAGGGTGAACTTACCACTTCTACTTTCATCTTCATCTCTTTTCTTAATTTGTTGCTGTTGGATTATCTCGATGGATTCTATAGCAAATTCAAGAACATTGACATGAAGAGGAAGGTGTAATCTCATCAAGCTCAAATTGAGGCATAATGAATCCACCGTGCCGTGGTGTAAAACCGAGCCATTAGCCAATAACAGAATGGAATTGAACAGTTTTACAATTCGAAATCCGGGCTGGTGAATGCTGAGAATTATGGTCCGGCCCTGGATTTCTGCCATGGATTTAAGCATATCAATGATCTGAAGAGCTGAAGTACTGTCAAGTCCTGAAGTTGGTTCGTCTAGAATCAGCACTCTGGGCTCATGTATAACCTGTCCAAGACGAGATTTACACGCCGTTTAGATAAAGCCACGCCTTACATTTGTAACCATTATTTATCTTTATGAAAAATTTATAAATTTTCCAGACAGGGTAGGACTAACAGTTCCACCTCTTAGATGAAACAGTTCCAGTTATGAATATGCACGGACTTCAATAAATATAAATAAATAATTTCAGTTCATATGTAAGACTAATAGATTTTAAAATGAATTGATTAACATTACCTCAACACCGATGGAGACGCGCCGCCTCTCCCCGCCAGAAATGCCCCGGATTCGGTCATCGCCGACTCGTGCTCCGGCAACGTGACTCAACCCCAGTTCCTGAATCAAGCACTTGACCCTTGAACTCAGCTGCGATTCCGGCAGCTTTAGCCGGAGCTTTGCACTGAATTTCAAGGTTTCTTCAATTGTAAGGAGTGGAAATAACGTATCCTTTTGGGTAACATAGCCTGAAATCTTCTTGAAATGGGTTTTATCGAACGGGTTTTGATCAACATAAATGGATGCAGATTGTGGTGTGAGTTTTCCGGCGAGGATTTCTAGCAATGAGGATTTTCCGGCGCCACTAGGACCGACAACGGCGAGAATTTCCCATGGTTTTGCTCGACAATTAACATCTTGAAGCACTTGCCGGATTGATTTCTTGTTGATTTTTGATTGTTTTGTTCCAAGAATCTGTCCTTTCTGTGTGCATACTTTGTAGTTTATGCCTATTGCTTCAATCTCACAACCTTGTTTCTTCATTGGAGAATTTTACCTCTTTCTTCTCTCTTTCTCTCTATATTACTGCAATTCTCTCTCTTTTATAAATTTATTTTGTACATTTTCCTATACGTGTTATTTTACAGTTTCAACGACTCTGGAAATCACTGGTTTAGTGAATTTGTTTGATAGTTTAAGGGGACATCCCAATTTTCATGGCATGGAAGTTAGCATACTACTAATAACATTTTACATATTATTTTTCATTATTATTATTTATTTTATTTTTTTAAATCTTGTTACACTTTATCAAGGTTTCGAATTGATAAAAGTGACAATCTTACTTGATTTATAGAAAGTAAAAGGATTCTCGACAAATAGAATAGGAGCAATAGCAAGTTGCTTCTTGTGTATGCGAGAAACTCGATTATTCATGAATGTTTGGACATGCTCAAGCGCTCGTTTGGAAATAGACTAAAATGAATTTAAGCTCTTTTTTGGTGTAGATTATAATCAAAATTTTAGTAGATTTTGATAAAGTTGATGAAATTTATAGTTGAAAAATTGTAAATCCTATAAGACGTGTTTTTAAAATTAACTGTTAATTTTGACCTGATATTTTTACCAAATTTTAATCCAAAAACCAAGCAAGGGTTGAATTATGCTTGATGTACATAGAAGTGTATATCAAGATGTCCACCCCCTCCATGTAAGAGGGGGTTTTATTCGGAGTGGACTCCCTCTTCATGTGAGTGGGGTGAACACCTTGATGTACATTTTTTGATACACAAGTGAAATAACCTAACCCATGAGGAATATGTTAACCAAAACTATTTATAATTTAAACATATTTTTAATATAGTTTTTAAATTTATTTGTATATACGCAAGTCCCTATTTGACAACCATTAAAATAAAACATTTTTCTTAAATTCATTTTTAATTACATATTTTCAAAATAAAATATTCTACACATAAATTCAAAATTTTTTCAATTTTTTAATCGCACATTATTTGAAAACTCATTATTTCAAAACTCATTTTAATAATCATCAGACAACGGCTAAATATATTATCCTTAAAATCACTTAAAAACTTGTTCCTTCATGCTATTTTTTAAAACTTATTTAATTATTTTTTATCTTCAGTTATTTAAATAAGTTTAAATGAATATCTAATGCCATATTAGATTGGTTGTAAAATGTCATTGTTCTTTTATGTGGTGAGAATTGAGTTTAAATGAATCTCTAATACCATATCCATATCGATTGGTTGTAAAATTGAGTTGGTAAGGGATAATGACATGCATGAATCTTTTATGTGGACGAGATTACAAGAGAATATTTCGTTGTACTGTTGGCTTTGCTTATTGTACGGATGATTTTACTACACAAGCCTTCCAATTTTTTTAATTTTTTTTTTAGTTTTTAATAAATAGACCTTTGGAAAAATTATAACCACGAAATATAAAGAGGGACAGGCTACTAACCTATTTTTCTTGACTTTATTATTATTATTTTAAGATAATTATTTTGTCTATATACTGTTACAATCTCGCCCGTGACATTTTTCTGGACCATATCTGCAGCTGTGAACTGTATCTTTATCTATTTTTTACTTATAATATTCATTTTTGTTTCATCTTTGACCTTATTATTTTTATTCCAACCTTTTACCTTAATTTTTATGCATCTTTGGCACATTAGTTTCTTCTTCTTTGATAACATTCTAACATACAAAATTTCATCGAGTCATGAAGTTGGTCTAGTGAGCTAAATTCTAGTGTTATATTTAGTCCCTGTTTGGTTTAACTAAAAATCAGTTTTTTAATAAATTTTGATAAAATTTATAGTTAAAAATAAGTCATTTTAAAAAGTAAGTATCAAACATGACTTTAGGGCCTGTTCGGTAGTAATTATGAAAATTGATTTTTTGACCGATTGAGAGAAAATTGGATCCCACCTATAAGTGAAGATGTTAAAAATAACAACTGAAATAGTGAAATAATGCTACCAAACAGGGGCTTAGTGTCTATTCAATCAAGCTGAAGATAGGGTTGCCAATTCAAGAGGCTATCAACGATCCAAATCAAATCAGTACAATTTTTCTTTTTATAATGTATTAATTGATTCTATTATTGTTTTTCGCTTTACTTATTTCTTCAATCTTCATCCGTGTTGAATATAAACCACCTAATCGTATTTCTATGACAAAGACCAGACAGCTCACAACTCCTTGAAGTTCATGCACGATTGATGCATTTCCTCAAGTCATACCTATAATGCATACCATCTATTTTAGTGGCGTTATTAATTATTACAACATATTTAGCCCTCGTTTGGCAACTTTCACCTTTCAAAAAATCATTTTTTTTTGGACCGTTATTTCATATCGATCAAAAAATTAATTCTCATAATCACTACCGAACAGATCCTTAGTACATTAAATTAATAAAAATAGACGTCATAATTATGAGAAAAATTGTATCACATGCATGTGTTATATTAATCTTGTTTAATTCTATTCAGGCTGCTGTTGTACCAAAACATGTCTTAATTCTTAAAACAAGGATGTTATATAAATTTGTATTTTCCACCGATTTTATACTCTTACGCATTAATTGAACTTTTTAAACATAAATTGTCTCTCTTACGTATATTAATTGAATGGAAAGGAGTTCTAAGAGCTCTTGTCATTTTTTTGTAGTGCCAGAAATTTGGCTAAAAGTCAGAGTATAATAAGCCCGTGTTTGATTTAGATAAAAAAATAAAAAAATAAAAAAATCACATTTGTATTATATTTCGATTAAAGTTGATTGAATTGTAGTTGAAAAATTGTGAATCTCATAAAATGTGGTATTAAAATTAATTGTTTACTTTTGAATTAGATTTTAATCTTATGTTTTAATTGTATCAAACATGGGCTTAATTGGTTGATTTGATACATATTGTTTTTCCTTTTTCCTAATTGAGAAGAGTTTTAGCTAATATTTGGCTTATTTTAAAATAATTTTCCTTTAATTTCTATCTCCTTTTTTGGATGACTAGTTGAGTCTAATTAGTTAGAGCGATTCACTTTATGGTACTGGTCTTTTATGATTTACTTGTCGATAAGATCTCACCAACATTTCATTTTTCAAAAGAATGTTAATTGGGACGAGCCGTTGGCATAAATTGAACAACGATTTGGCCACACAAAATGCTCATTGACTTGCCAAATAGAGAAAAATATGCAATGGAGAAATTCTGCGAGCTTCCGAAAATGAGTCGAGCTGCCCTTTTGTTCACTGAGCAAGCTCGGTTAGTTCATCCCATTTAATACCCTTACCAAAGTAACAGAGTATTCGGCATTTGGCTCGGACTAGCTTTCTAGATCCACACCTCTTAAAAGGTTCATAAAGTTGCTTTAAAATATATATATTTTTTGAAACATAAAGTTAATACAAATAATAATAATAATTGAGAAAATATGGTCCGGCAAAAACAAACCTCAGGATAAAAAATTAATAAAATATATTGCTGAAAAAATAACAAAAGTCGTGTCTCATGAAATGTGTTACTAAAAATTAATTAAAAAAATCAAATTTTAAAAAAATGGAGGCCAAACAGAGATAGTGTTTAGTCTCAAACAGTTACTTGATAATTATATTATCGACCATACTACACTACCAGGTTTGTAATAGGCCTAGTAGTGCAGCCCCTCTCACTGCTCGAGGTGGGGTGGATGTTTGGAGGATATTTTTTTAATCATGCGACCCACCGAGATGAGAGAAAATGGAAGAGGAGCTCCTCTACCAGGTCTTTTACAGATCTGGTAGAGGAGCATTTTCCTTATATTATCATACCTATTTCCACATTGGTCAATCTATCCAATATGATACATTTAGAGTACCTTAAGAGATTTTTTTATTTTAATATCCTTTTTTTTTTCAAAGAGTCATTATTCATTTTAACTAATCAACAAATTTCCTGTCTCTAAAAACTAAAGCATTCGTTTGACAAATTTGTAAATCAGTTTATGAAGAGAAATAGTAGTGGATATTACAAAATGTATGAATAATAATGAGTAATAGATATAAATGTGTGATTGAAATAATATAAGTAAACTATTTAAGCTTAGTCAAACAACACCCTATGTCTAGCTCATAATATTTATAATTACAAAATCACTTTTTATTCATATTTTTCAAAATTCACATGTTCTATTTACTTATTCATTATTTATTTGTCTTATCTATAATTTAAGCCACTTGTAAATACTTTTTAAACATGCTTAATTCTCACTTGAATGGAGGCTATGCGATCTCGACCTTAGTGGCGTTATGGGTTAGTCACTTTTGACTTATTGTCTTGGGCATGCTTGAGAGTTTTTACAATCGATTTTAACCATTTTTGAGTGGCATCATTTATGAGAGGTTGAAAAAATCGGTGCTTATTTATTTTTTTAGACACTGATTTTGGGTAGTTAAAGTTTCTCAACCCATCAAATCTGTGAAGTTGGACCATTTCTCAAATCATCTTCCAATTTTACCCTCTATAAATATTTATTTTCAACCCATATATTTTATTAAAAACTAACTTGTAAATAAAAATACATTATAATTTTATAAAAAAAAAATTTTTATAACCAAAAATTACTTATAATTAAAAATATACTTATAATGTAAAATTTCGCTTTTCTGTTAAAAAGAAAGCTTATAAAATAAAAATACTAGTAATAAGACAAAAATTTACTTATAAAGTATAAAAAGTTACTCATAAATAAAAAATTTCTTATGAATAACTTAAAAGTAAAATATTAACTTATAATTTTAATTATAAGTAAATATGTCACTTTTTAAGTAAAAAATTAACTTATATGTAAAAAAATTAGTTATAATTAAATATCACTTATCCTTAAAAATTTCATGCAAGAAATTATAAATTGAAAATCACGTTAATTTCACAAACGGTCACTAAACTTACAGAAAAATTACAAAACAGTCATTGAAATTTAAAACTTTCAGTAACGATCACTTAAGTATTGAGACGCTTTAAAAAACGG